AATTCATTTATGGATTGAAACAAGCATCTCGTAGATGGAATATTTGTTTCAATGTGAAAGTCATAGAGTTTGGATTTTTTAGAATCGAGGATGAGTCTTGTGTTTATGTCAAAGCTAGTGGGAGTATAGTAAGATTTCGGGTGTTTTATGTGGATGATATACTACTCATAGGGAATGACATCCCAACCTTGTAGGAGGTTTATTACTAGCTTGGGAAGTGTTTCACTATGAAGGACCTTAGGGAAGCTGCATACATCTTAGGGATAAGGATATTGAGAAACAAGGGTAAAAGACTAATAGGACTTAGTCAAAGTACCTACCTGAATAAGGTGTTGAAGCGTTTTAGCATGGAGAACTCCAAGCAAGGTGACTTACCTATCCAAAGCAATACCAAACTGAGTAAGACTCAGATTTCGAGTATAGAGGCAAAGATAGTAGAGATGAGTCGAGTAGAATATGCTTCCATAGTTGAGTGTGGCAAGGTATTGTAACGCTAGTTTTCAGACCGACATATATAATTTGTGCTCTCAGTCGGGCTGGGTGTTTACCCTAAATGGAGGAGCAGTAACGTGGAAGAGTTCCAAGCAAGAATTTGTAGCTGATTCAACGTGCGAATCAGAGTACATAGCAGCGAGCGGAGCCTCAAAGTAGGAGATATGGTTGAAAAACATCATCGGAGATGTTGAAGTTGTACCATCAATAAAGGAGCCTATGAAAGTTTTCTGTGATAATGAATGAGCGGTTTCCTTAACCAATGAACCCAGAGATCATGGTGGATCCAGGCATACTGACAGAAAGTACTACTTCATAAGACATCATGTAGAAGAAGAACATCTCGTGGTGAAGATGATATCATCAGAGGACAACCCAACAGATCCCCTTACGAAGAGATTAAGTAGGGTTAGGCACCTGCAACATGCAAGGGGTATTGGGCTAACAGACGATATTAGTTTTAGTGATTAGATAAATATTTATAAACTTGTAATAGCTAAATTGTAATTGACATTTATTGATTGAATAAAAGGAGTTTTATTTATAAGTAAAGTTACTATCTTGCGTCAATTATTTACTATTGTTTCACTTTTGCATGTTTTGACTTCCAGAATAATATGATTATTCAAACTTTCCATAGGCGATCATACTTTAGAAGTAGGTTATGAGGCTAGATTATATTTAGTTGGCTTGTAGATTGTCTAAGGTGTAATACATAGAAAATTTTGCTACACCATTCATGAGTGCTCCTGCAATAAGATTTGAGTATTGGATTAAACCCATACTCACATGAATCACTTCATGGAATTTATCATGAATGATTGTGAGACGATAATATTATATAGTCTTCAAACCAAGATATATGAGTTGTTGACTACGAGTTGGTTGTGCATTGATGATATGAAAATGCATTAGTAACTCGATGTTATGAAGCATATTATTGTGCATGATTTAACGAGTAGTTAGTACAAGCATATAATGTCAAAGTTTATCTATTCCTTTTATCCTAAGATGATTAAAAGTGATATATTGGGCCCCTCAATGATTTTGTTTTGACTAATGTGACAAGACCGATCAAAACTAAATTAATGTCTTCAATTACGTTCTATGACAGACAAATCGGAAATCGGGAAACAAACTGCAACACAATAAGTATGACTATGTTCCATGTATTTGTCTGTATGATATATTGAAGAACATAGGAATATATGATCCCATATCTAAAGGGCACGTCACCGACTAGGTCAGAGTTCCACAGCAGCTTTTGAAAGCTACGATTGCTAATCGGATTTTGAAGTTACATTGGTGGTTATAGTTATTAGAATTATCCAAGTGTGAGACAGTTGGATTAGGTGTCTAAGCCGATAACTATAATTGGGATATACTTGACCCAATAGTAGCATGGTCCTTTTGGGTTGCCTTCACCAATGCAATTTGATAGGATGGACTTTTGAGAATAAGGTTATTTTTGATTTATTAGTATATTATAATTATAATATATTAATTGAGAAATCATATTATTTAATTAGTATTGATCAAGATTAATTTGGAATGAATCTAGTGATCAAAAGAGATTAATTAAATATACTGTAACTGATTAAGTAAATAAATGATTCTTATAGTGTGGGCTAATGATCCATGGTTAATTAGGATGGGCTAAACAAATATGATAGTCCATGGAGGTTTAACCCAAGGAGCCTAAGTAATATGAGGGTTATGGTGCATTAGGGTTTGCATGGATAAAACCCTAGCCTTTGTAACACTATAAAAGCACACCTCTAGAGCTAAAATCGGTTGCCCATTCATTCTAAGAGAGTGATAATCAATTTTGAGCTAACTAGCCTATTCTCTCAAGCCTCCTCTTGCATTTGGTGTTTGTGACACATTAGTCGCATCATACTTGAGGTTCTAAAGCTTTCTAAGGGCAAGAACTACAAACTACATTAAGAGGTTTTCATCTAATTTGGTTTTTAAGTTGTATATGCTCTATTGTTTGCTAGTTAGGATGTATGCTTTGGAAAATTGAAATTCCATGTATAATTAGAGAAAACATAGATCAAACGCATCTAGGGTTGAATGTGCACCATAGGAGTGTTATAGTACTTAAAACCCAACACTTCCTTATTTTCCCACTAAACACTTATTTCATATTTGCATGGAAGGATTTATTCATTTTGAACTTGAAAGAGGATATCATGTGTTGGTCTCCCTGGAGCTTAGTATAAGATTGCAAGAACTTAAAATTGATGAATTTAGATAGGTTAAGCCCGAGATCTTAAAGGAAGCTGATAAGTTCTACAATGGTTTTGATGACTCTAAAGAAGAAGATTAGTTTTGACATCATTAGATAGGGGAGATTGTAATGTCATACCTTATGATGAGATGAGTGAAACACTCTATATGCTATCTCCTAGCGCCAACGACAGATCAGCATAAACACCAGCGTCTCAAGTCTATTATCGTTAGTGTCTAGATAGTAATTATGTTTCATATTTGTATATTATCTAATGATGCAAATAAGTATATAATAGATAACAGATCTAATATCTTTGTTATGAAGATCGGTTCTTAGTATAGATTAGATACAATCTATTCAATTAAGAGATATACGTGTATAGATTAGCATATATATTCAACATTTTGGTGAAACCCTAATGTAATCGTCTTGGTGACCATCTTTGTGACAACTCGTTTTCTAGGTGAAAACAAGTTCTTTCTTGGTGAAAGACAATTTGGTGAATTCCTTGTGTTCTTTACTTTTTGTATTCTTTATTCGTTTAATAATTTTGTTCGTTTTACTATACTTGAAGTGTATCCAGTCGACATAAACCTTCACGGGCCCTTCCCCTTCAATTTTGAAGCACCTAAAGCCATAAACATAAACTATAAGCACAACGCTTAGTAAGTTTCCTCAAAATACCACATACCATACATATATAACAATCAAAAACATTACTAGGTCTATGTCACCTACTTCGGTCTCTTTCAACCGGTACTCGATCTATTTCACTGTATTAAGTCACTTTCAATCAATATCTGGTCTATTTCACCCCTACAGCTAGCATATAATCATATATGCTAGAGTCACAGAGATAACAAGAACATACATGCATAACAGTGATTGTCACAAAGATAATTATCATCGTACAAACATAAACCAATGGTTCCACATTGGTGCCTTTGACCCACGAGTATACTGAAAGAACTCAACTCAGTCTGAAGATAGTCAAATCACACACTCGAGATGCCATTACTATGGCTCCTCATATCGAACATTCAAATTAATCTTGATCAATACTTAGGGTAATAACCCATGAATGGTTCAGATTACCCTCTTACATGCCAAAGGATAAAAGTGTTGGATTAGGTTTCTAAGCCAATACCTAAATTATTATAAATATAAGTTATTAGCAAAGTCCTTTTGGGTTCCCCCAAACCTAGTAAGAGACTAGAATTCTATTTGGAGAGAGAAAGAGAGAGAGAGAGAGAGAGAGAGAGAGAGAGAAGAGAGAGACAGAAAAAGAGAATGAAGGAGATTCATTTTTTAATTTATTATATGATTAATAAATTAATTAGAAATCAAAATAAATAATTTGTTAATATGTTTTGAGAAAAATATATTAAATAGAAATTATATTGTTTAATAATAAATTAATCATAAATTAATTGGATATAGTTGTGGAATTAATTGGAATAATTAAAAGTGGAAGGACTAAACACTACTAGAAAAAAGCCCTTTAATGACGCGCAAACAATGACACTCGCTGATAGAGGACGCGCATTTGTGCATGCCCTAAATGTTAATGTCATTTTTGCAAAATTTGAAGGATAGAGAACACGCATTTGTGCGTGCCCTAAAATTAGTGTCCAAGAAAAAAAATTATAAACACGGAGGGCACCTATCATAAAAATGGGCGTCGTGTAAATGTGTCGCTTTATATTTTTTTAAGGAAGGCGCGGTCTCTCATTTTTAATAGCCCGGGGGGAATGAAATCCCAAAAAATTAAACACCCCGCCTCTAAAATCCTCTACTAAAAAACCCTAATAGTTTGTCTCTCTCTCTCTCTCTCTATCTGTATCTCTCTCTCTCTCTCTCTCTCTCTCTCTCTCTCTCTTTCTCTCTTATGCTCTATCTCTCTCTCCTTTGGAATCAGATTTTTGAAAGATCGAAACCCTAATCGTAGCCCTAACTACAACATGTCTTACCATATGTGATCTTCAAATCAAAACGAAAGAGGCGACCACCACGACAACCGTTAACTATACAATCCTTACCAAGATCTTATAGAGTCCCCACACAAACCCTGTATAAACCTCCCACATCTCCCGAATACCTCTTTCAAGAGGAATCCATCGCTCAACGGCGTTCGTGGGGCGAAAATCTGACATACTACACCAGTATTGGTTACCTCAGTGGCACAGTAGTTGGCGCTGGGAAAGGTTTAGTAGAGGGAATGAAGGCTTCTGAGGCTAGAGACACCATGAAACTTAGGGTTAACTAGAATGAAATGCATGGTGGTTGGAATAGCGACTGGAGCGTGGTGGTTAGATTAGCGACTGGAGCGCTTTACAAAACGGCGGCCAACCCTAGGTCAGCGGCTGTTGCCGGAGCTATTGGTGGAATAGCGGTGGGATTAGCCATGACGGGGAAGCAGATTTTGAAGAGATTCGTACCAATCTGAGCTCGATCTGTATTCAATTTCATCTTACTACAAGTTTTGGTCTTTTGAGATCTCAAATGGTGATTCATCTGTAGTCTTTTACAATATTTTAGTATTTTACAATAATTTAGATGATTGACATAATTTGGCATGGAATGAAATGCGTGATTTTGTTTTGAGCACTTAATAGTTGAAACCCTTTATGTTGTGTACTTTGTAAGTGACTGGAAGGGTTTAGTCACAAATAAATCATTGTAGACTTTGATATGGGAATTGCATCAACACAGGTTTTTGTGGCTTTATTGGTTGATGAATATTTGTTCAGGTGAGAACACATATTGAATATTTGGTTGATGAATATTTGTGATTTTGATTATTGCAGATACAGGGGCTGTAAGGCTTTAAATTTATCATTATCTGATTGTTGTGACTACATAACACGAAGTTTAAACTCACGTTTTGTTGGTGAATCTGAGAGAGGAACAATATGCCTCCAAATCATTCTTTACTAAATTTACCGATTCAATTACACATGCCCCCATGGTATTCTTTGACTCTACTCCAGTTGGACGAATTCTAGCAAGGGTAAGATAAAAAAAAATTAACTAAATTCAAATGGTACCATATTTACTTTCTTCTGACGAATTCACTTTTTTATCTTTACTTGTTTTCATAAATTCAAATGATAACTCTCAAGTTGATTTCCCATGATCAACAAGACAACAACTATCCATTAAGTAGTGTCTGGAAAATGATGTTACTGAAGTATTTGAGAAATGGAATAGATAATAGATGAGGGTAAATTTGTAAAATGTTAGGATCTAATCATCTAACCCTCAGCTTCTTTATTAAATTGTTCTATGCTTTTGCAGAGTTGAAGTTGCTTGAGCTGCACATCCTACTATAGATGTATTTATTAATTTCGCATCCTACTGAAGGTCAGTTTTAATTTTTAAGTTTTTACTTGTATATCATTCTTAAATCTTTCTATTAATTTGACTTAAAAATTGCAAATTTTATATTTATTAAAAGTTTTCAAGTTACAAGTAATGATATTGATTATTCCCCCACAAACATTTTTTTCAAGAACTCGGTTGTTGGTTAGTGACATCAACAAACATTTATAAAAAATTCTGAAAAGGATAATATACTTATTGTCTAAGAAGCATAGAAACTCCATTTTGGGTGACGTTCCCGTATCTGAAACGGCCAGGAAACGGATACGCATGGAAACGTCATGGAAACGTTTCCGTGACGTATCGGGTATCCAAGAAACGTTTCTGTGAAGTTTCTACAAATTTCCATTTTTTTACACAGTTGTTTGCTCTAATTAAATCCAAAATTCGAAACGTTTATTGGACGGATAGATATGAAATCAATTTAATGATCATTACAGATATTAAGGGATAAAACGAAAAAAAGAAGAGTATGAATTAGTTCAGGAAAAAGCCTTAGTTACACAGTCTCTTGAAGAACACCTTTGTATATATAAGTAGTCCAAATACCGGCGACCCAAAATACGAGCTCTGAAACACGGCGGAGACCGACGTCGTGTGACTCCATTTGATTCTCTAGAATGAGAGATTGGATGAAATGCTTCCGAATGGTGCGGCAGTAGAAACTAGAAAGAGTCTTCGAGTAGCGTATATATATTCTAGAATCCACGTTAACTTTTGTACGTGGAGCCTTTTGATCGGAGAAGTGACTAAATGCTATCATCCTATTGGTTAATGGATACACGACAATATAAATTGTTCAAATAATTTGCAGTAACACCCTTGTGGTTTTACAGATTTCATAAATATAATCCTTAAACTTTAAATGTTTAGTTATCAGTCTATTATTAAGAAATTTCAATTTTGTAACCATGATTTTTTATAATATATGTTTTTTTATATTTTTATATTGTCGTATCTATGCCGTATCCGTATCTTGAATTTTTGAGTTTTGCCGTTTCCCGTTTCCGTTCCGTATCCGTTTCCCGTTGCCGTATCCGTTTCCATGCAACTTAGCTTATTGTACTTGGAACAGGGACCAAAATGTTACACTTCAAATAAGGACCAAAATTGCAAAAAAAAACTTAGTAGGACCAATTTTGCAAAAATTCCCTATAGCCAGGGACCATTTTTGTAATTTACACCTACTGTTTCAAAATTGGAACAAAATAGAAACTTGGTTACTATATTTATAAAAATTGTTTCAATAAACATAAACCCACTAAATCATACTACGACACATCAACACCACATCATGTCAATTAAAAATACAAAAATTCACAACAAAACAATTGTTTCATGACATTCGTTCCTTATTTTACAATAGTGTTGCTGCTTCATCCAATCTTGCCCTCAAACAGCCCACCATCAGAGTTGTGGCTATTATAGCTGGAGCTTTCAAAATTGGTGACACTGAAGGAACAATTGATAACATTATTCAATGCAAACTTTACAGACCTGGATATGTTGGATTTGTCTCCAAATCTGTATGTTTTTTCTCATTTGTGTAATTACACGAGCATTCAAGATGCAAGACAGGTTCTGTAAGGACTATATGAGGCTAGTGGATACAGATGTAAGTACTTTCATTTTCACAAATGCAACCTGGGAATGGTTGGTTTTGAGAATAGAAGCCCTTTCGAACCCAACCTTGTTCATAGCTAGTTTTCTCCTGGTTTTCATACCAAAGGGTTTTGTGCCTCCAGGTTTGTGATTTCCACTTCCCACTTTTCTTCATATTCATTTGAAGGCAACATTACATATATATTAACTCGATAGTTGAATATTTGTACATATTTGGTTTGGCATTTATTAAAGAATTGTGTCAAGACTCAAGAGTATGGTGCCACTACTTTCCAAACTACAATACTACTTAGATATCTTAACTAGTGTATTAGTGACCCACTTGTTGCATTTTCTTAGATGTAGTAGATTTGACCAGTAGATGGACACGGGTTATATTTGTTATTTAATTTATAACAGGTCAAATAAAAAATTCAGGGATGCATTCTACTTTTGGTCACCATGTCCAACAGTGAAGACACTCAAGCTGCCATTAATGCATAGAAGCTTTTGGATTTTCTTTCTTCCTCTGATCAAAATGTCATCCAAATGTAAAAAGCTAATTACTTGACACATTTCCTTCATCGATCACTATCTTCAGGTATTAATTTATACGAAGCCTTTTATTACAATATCTTTAGTATCATTGAGACATTTTTTTTTCACATGTTCTGAAGAAGTGAAGATGAGCATGGTGACAACAATAGTAGAAATGGAATTCACAGATCACAGCAAACCCTAGTCCTGGATGCCTTGCTCACAAATATCATGTAGCAAACCAGGGATGTATGGGCAAAATCTAATTACTTGACACATTTCCTTCAGATGCTTCTATTGAATGTCGTCGTGCACCAAGGATGTATGGGAATTATGTAAATGTAAGGTCATTTTCTATTTTTATACACAATAAAAATAAACAAACTTAAACTAGTAAAAAATTTATTTTTTTATCTGTAAAATTATGTTGTTGAAGTGTATTATGAGTTTAAGCACAAAAAAGACTATCAAGGTGTTCATGTTGTAATTTTTTTTTCTCACAATAAACAGAATAAAAATAGTGCAAAACTAATGGCTTTCTTTTAATTTCCCCTGATGGGTTTACCCTTTTTATTTGCAGTTTTTTGGGTACCAAGGAAAATGAATACAATGACCTTGCAAATCAACTTCTTTAATACTCAGGTCAGTGTTTATACATTACTCATGTGTTACCTAACCTCATCCCTTAGGCTTTGTTTCTTCTTCTTTTTCTTCTTTTTCTTCTTCTATTCTTCTATCTTTTTTTTGTTTTGTTTTTTTTTTTTGATTTTCCATTTATCTGGATGCAGGATGATGCTATAAGAAATCCATTTAGTGCGAAAACCATTCACGAGTAAAGCGCCCAGACCCTGCTGACCTTTCTGGTATCCCTCACCTCCATTTTACTTGACATCTATTTTGTGAAAACAAAATAATATATTATAAATAGCAATTAGGAATAGGATATAGATTGGTATAAAGAAGCCTTCTAAATTTGTTTTTAATGTTTGATCAGATTATGAATTGAGAGGTTACAAAATTAGTGTGGGAATGACTGAGAAATCTGCTCCAAGAGCTCCTCCTACTCATGAGCATGGGTCAAAATTTGATATCACTGTGTCAGTTTTGTATGTTATTTCTTAGTCTATAGCTGATAGAAAAATTCCATATAAAATATTAAATTTCTTAAAAAATAAGTAAGTAGCATTTGAAAATATTAGTTTATAAATTATTCTTTGATTTGACAAAATAACAATTAAAAAAATAACTAAGTAGCTCATTTTCTTCCATCTTTCACTTTCTGCTCTTATTATTTTACTCATTAAACATAAATGATAAAAGAATTATATAACATTTCTTCTTCTTCTTCTTGTCTAGGGGTGCATTGGTAATTGCAGACGAAGTTCAATGAGCATTTTCTGTTGACTTTTTTGTACTTGCAAAATCACAAAACCAGCATCTGATGCCACCATATGCTGCTTTCTATCCACATGGAGGTGTTTATGCAAATCCTGTAGTTCATCTTGTAAGTCTTCTCAACCTTTCTAAGATCATCTTGTAAGTCTTTTATGAAGGTGGAAACAATATTGATGGGAACTCACACAAGTGGAAACAATAGCTCGTTTATAAAATAGTGGGGAGATTGAAGGAACGAGTGAAGGAATTGATGGGAATACAATTGAGGTAATAAAACTTTATATCATCAACTGAAGTTGAGAAGGCTGAGCCACAAATGATGGCTAAAACTAAGGTAAACTGAGACAGAGCTCTATTTGGGTGATTATTATCTAGGTTAACTAACCGAGATATTTATCTAATTAATACCCAGATTTTGTCTACTTATGTTTGCTTGCAGATGATTCTCAAATATTCTTAATGATCTTTATATAACTTATTTTCTTCATGAAATCAGGGTGTTATGATCTTCAGTATATTAAGTTTTGTAATAATGTAACTTTGTGCAGTTTCTATGAGTATTTACTTAAAGTGTGGATACAACGAAACAAAGCTGCAACTGTAAAGCCTTATAAGTAAGTTTGTAATTTTAATTCTAGATAAAATTACAATTGTAGCTGTATATATAAAACAAACTAATGCGTTATTAAAACATAGACATGTGGGAGACATCAATGAAAGTTCCTGAATATGGCTGAAGAGGTCTGTTATTCTTGTTGCTTTTTTAGTTGCCAATAATTTTTATATGTATTATTTGCAGCTTGCTAGGACATGCTATAACTTTTATCAGTCCACACCAACAAAGTTCACTGGAGAAAACTACTTCCTCCATTTAGGGCAGGTTAGTAGTTTCTCATGATGATGTGTTGTTTCTTGTGTAATTAAAAGCTTTTTGGTTTCAGCTTTTTGATTGTGTGATTAATAAAAGTGTTTTGGTTTTAGCTAATGTTCAAGTCATTATTTGTCATCTACACTCGATGGACAACAACCAATTTTTTGACATGGAGGATTTGTATTTTACATGATATCTGAAACAAGGTGTCCCTTAATAGGAATGTAATAATAGGTTAGATAGTTAGGTATTGTATTTTATAAAATGGATTGTATTTTTTGTATATGATTATTTGTATGACATTAAATTTTATGCAATGGATTGTATTTTTTGTAAATGATATTTTATTTTCTATTATGAGACATTAAATACAAATTTAATTTGAAAATTAGTAAATCTATAAATAATATATTTTTTAAACATTTAAAATTATGATACGCAAAAATGTGTGTCATCTTCATTTATGACATGGCCTTTCTTGACAGGGGCTTTCTTGATACGCATTGCGTGTCATTAACACGCATGTCGTAAGGTTACGATACGCAAATGCGTGTCGTCTTCCTTTATGACAGGGCCTTTCTTGATATGCATTGCGTGTCATAAACGTGCGTCATAAATGAGCGTCGTAAATGCGCGTCGTCAATAGATGACGCGCAAAAGCGCGTCGTCTCTCGTTATGACAGGGCCTTCCTTGACGCGCATTTGCACGTCGTCTAAGCCCTTTACGACGCGCAATGAGCGTCGTAAAAGGCTGTTTTTCTAGTAGTGAAAGTGACAAAGTTCAAAAGTTGAGCATTAGGCAACTCTAGAATGTTCCTAGAGGGGGGACAAAATTCTAGAGGCGATCTAGATAGTTTCTAGAGCCTTTCTTGGATTCTAAGGAAATTTGGGGGGAAAGCAAAGGGATAAGGCTTATCCAAGAAAATTTGCTTTATCCAAGCCCCTTTGATGACCTATATAAACCTGTCTATACCTCCATATTTCCGGCCATCCCATATACTAAGGAAGAACTGAAAATCCTTTTCCCTTCCTCTCTCTCGTCAATAGCCTCCAACTTCTAATGTTTGGGTGTAAGCCATCAGAGACATGAGATTTCTGGTGTTGGATTTTTGTAGATCTACAAAGAAGGAATTTAAGTTTTTTTTACAACAACAAACTAAAAGTTACGTTTTTCTAGTAACCCATCTCAATTTTGAAAATATCAATGTACTTCTGGGTTTCTTGAATTCAAATTGTTGTTTGCAGATCATGGTGAGAGCATACATCCTTTAGGGTGTATGCAAACTTAGGGTTTTTTTTTTTTTTTTTTTTTATCTAAAGTATGATTTTATTTATGTATAAAACCCATCAGTGGTATTAGAGCCATTTTTCTCTATGATCTTGCAAAAAGTTGAATAATATCAAAAACCCTCTTGTGGTAATTTTCTATTTGGGCAAGGGTTTTAGAAACCCTAGCCTCTTTCTTGGTTTTTTTAAATTGGTATGGTTCTTTAGGTTTCCTTGTTTTGATCATTATTAGTTTTAAATGCCTTAAAATTAGATAATTATAAATTTGGTAAATCGCAAACCCTAATTTTGGAATTAGAGGGTATTGGATTAAGATTAAAATTTATTTGATTAATTGATTAATTGTAAATAAATTGTTTAATCCTTATTGGCTTAATTTAAATTGAATTAATTTTTATTACTTTTGAAATTTATTAAACCTAGTATTTTTAAAAAGTTATAAAATACACCTTATACTATATATAAAATTAAAAGTTTGATAATTACTAGATGCATAAGACTAAGTTAATTAAATCGTTAGTACCCCCCATTCACGAAGCCATACTATAAGGGGAGTTTAAGAAAGCCAGTATACAATGACTGTTATTGAGTATCCATTCTTACATACTGCTCTCATGCATAGTGAAGGGTTGTTAGCCGAATGGAATTGATAGCAAACAACATCATTAATAAGTATAATGGTATTAAAGTAACTAAAACACCTTTTAAAAAATCTCACTCATAGTTACTTTAGGAAAATGTTAAAAGTATGTTAATCCATAAAATTGCACATTATACTTTATAGTAATTAGTGTAGTGTGTGTGGTTTACCGACATACTAATAGTGACTATAAAGAGTAATAATGGACATCTCGAAAATTATCATTAATTAATAGAGCATATGTGGTTAACCGGCACATTAAAATGAGATGATAAATGACATCAAGAGTGTCAAGCACATTTTGATGGTTATTCAAATCTAGTTTGTGATCCTCGGTATCCCCATAAAAAATAGTGGAGCATAATCTGACTTTAAACACGCTATTGATAGACTCAATTAATCTCTAAAGATCTAAGAATTTCAAAGTTCGAAATTGGTGAAGCTCTTACCTATCTTAATTCGCAATAAGATTATGACATCCCTATTCGTAGTTGTGAATTTTTATTTTGGATCCTAGCCTTAATCATTTATTATGGGTTAAAATATTAAGGATAATTGTCATCTAACTAAATATGTTCTTTTTATCTACAAATGGCTACTCCTTTTGATGCTTCTACTCCATCATCTTCTACCCACAACTTGGGTTTCTCCATTCTCTCCATTGTGTCCAAAGTAACTTTCGAACGCTCCAACTATAATTATTAGATGTGCAACATCAGAGTGCCTCTTCGATTCGATGGAGAAGAATATGTCCTTGAAGAGAAACTCATTGAAGTCGATGAAAGCACTACGACAATGCAACAAAAGTTGCTTGCATAATGGTCATCACAATGACTCCTGAATTCCAAAGGTTCTATGAGGACTACTGGCCTTTTGAGATGAACAATGACGTTGTAGAAAAGTACCACAAGAGAGCTCATCAAGAGAAATTTGAAGTAGTCAAGTCCGTGATGGCTTGGAAGATAAAAGAGGGACAATCTATCTACAACCCCATGCAGATAATGCAAAGATACATGCATTATCTCATCAAGCTTAATGTGCATTTTGATGAGGAGTTGTTCATCGACATGTTTCTAAACTCCTTGCCAAGTTGGTATATGTTGGGTCTAAAATTTTGTTTATACTTTGCTTTTGTAGGAAAATGTATTTTTATGTCTAGGACTATAAACAGATCATTGTTTATGGCCATATCAGTGTTTACGGTTGTGTGTATGGTCGTACATAGGATTACGGCCAATTGTCTCATAATATAGGGTGAGGATTGCTTGAGAGAAAAGGGGCTAGAGAAGGAGAGCATTTTCTAGAGAGAGAAACTAGAGAGAAGATTAGTGTGTGTGAGAGAATCTAATGTATATGGAGCATCACTCATATCTTTGAATACATCATAGATTCAAGTTATTCTTCTTCTCTTACTTTTCTACTTTGATCTTACATCATCCGTTTGATTGGGATTCCGCACCATCAAACAGATCTGATTGATACACAGACTTACAAGTGGTATCAGAGCTTCGATTGTATCAATCAATTTTTTCAGATCTGGAGCTTATTTGATCTTATTTTTTGAAGGATTTTTGTGTTTTTGGATATCTCTTGCCAAAATAAGGGGGGTTTGTTCTTCGTGTTTTTCATAAAAACGAGTTTTA